TCATCATCATCATCGTCATCATCATCATCGTCATCATCATCATCATCATCGTCGTCATCATTATCATCACCTTCTTCATCTTCATTCTTGCTTGGCTCACCTAATTTTTTCAGAACGAAGTCCACAACTTCCGTCCAAGACCGCATTCCACCCATTGATATATTACCATCAATGTCAACACACTTCTCCACTGGTTTCAATATACTCATATTAGGGTAGGATTCTTGCAAAAGTGACAATTGTCTCTTGGTGATGGGGTGCGCATACATAGAGCTGGTCAAAGCCAATGCGGTTACTATTGGCTTAGGAGCAAGTAAATTATTCGACAATACGGTGTTATCGTGTTGTTGATTGGTAGACTTTTGTTGTTGTTGTGGATAATTTATCTGAGGAATAGGCCATGTGTGAAGTAAATCTGTCAAGAGGTTATCTGACAATCCATTAATTAATTTAGCCATAGTATTGGCAGACAATGGTGCGATCAATAAAACGTCGGTCCATTTTTGTAGGTCGTAACTTAAGATGTATTGACTTAACAAGCTGGGAGTTAATTTGACTAACGGTTTGCTCGGGTTACTTGTGATTTTATTGGTAAGGAAATATTTGAATGTATCATCATGAAACCACACCTTGACGCCCATTGCTTCGAACTTATGCAATTTTTCAGACAAGAACCATTCAGCGGCCTTGGTTAACACTACTTGAATTTCTAACTTTTCCGGCGTGTACATGTTGAACAATTTCTCGATTATCAAGAAAATATTCTTATTAACCGAGATACATCCTGTGATACCAATCAATAAATGCAATTTGTCCTTAGCTTTCTGTTCGGGAGTTTCTGACGCTTTAATGTCTGGATTTGGCGAACTGATGGGTGAAGGACTAGTCGTCTTCGATTGTCTCATAGACTCGATGATTTTCTTATCGTTTTGTCCCGAATACCGTAAAGAATTCATCCTAGACATGGGTGGTGGACTGACATATTCGTGCTGTCCCTGCGTGGAATTCGGTGGTGATATACACTTTGGGGCTTCACAATTGAAATTCGTATTCGGCATATGAGAATGCGCTACATTCTCATCAAGCGATGCCGAGGCAGTTCCCATATTATTCAAAGACAATAACCCATGTCTATTGGGACTAATATCGTCCTCTGGTTCTGCAAACGACGCATGGGCGTGCTGGCCAACACATACAGCTCCTGGGCGCATTTCTCCGCCATTCCCACCACTTTGAGACAGCTGTGGCCTGGATCCATCACTACTAGACATTAAACACGATTTCAAATTAGGCGCTGGCTCTACCCTTAATACTGACTTGCTTTCCCGACTATCTTTACCCTCTTTTTCTCTGGTCATATCTCCCCTACCACCACTTTTCGATATATGCGTTCCCGCCCCATCCGCCTTCTGTGGCCTTGGGCTTATCACCTTATTTGCACCCCCATTCTCTTCTAATTTTCTGTTTTCAAATGACATTCTGTGTTTTTGCAATATTCTACTGGTATCCAACTAGGTCCATTGATAACATAAAAATGTATTGTAACGTAGCTCAATTAATATAATACGCCGATTGTATAACCTTACTGCGCCTTAACAATTAACCTGCTCAATAATGTTCGATATATTAACTTCAATAACTTATATAGATCAGATATACTATTGAATAGATAAGCTTACAAACACCACCCGTCTATAATTTTCCCTAACAAAAACTTATTGTATTATACACGCCAAATTTCGTGATATCAAAATCACGAGCATTAAGTCCGCAATATACATGTGAAGAAGCCTGTGGAGACAATATATAAAGACTAGAATTTCCCTAGTAGTGGCGGCGTGAAGAAGAAAGCTACATTAATCATTCAAAATAATATAAGAAATAGTACAATAATGACACCAAGTGGTAAAGAAAGGAAAGGAACAGGAGTAAACGTTGAGTCGCAACAGGTTAACGGCAAAACTAAGACCTCGGGTAATGTGAAGAATAAATTGGAACATGAAGGCCCAGTTGCAACAGCGGCAGCTAAAGGCGGTAAGGGAAAAGTTGAGAATGAAGGTGTGTTGCAATACACACCATTGGACGAGATTCCAGTTCGAGTTGCGCGTTTGACTGAATCGTTCCACAAGACTAGAAAGACGCATTCGATTCAGTATAGGTTGAATCAATTGAGAAACCTTTACTTTGCTGTGAAGGATAACGTTGATCCTATTTGTGATGCTTTGTACAAGGACTTCTACAGACTGGCATCAGAGACCAAGAATTTGGAAATTACGGGGGGACTCAGCGAGTTGTTGCACGTTATGTCGAGCTTGCACAAGTGGATTCAACCAGAAAAGGTGACGGATTTGCCAGTTTCGATGCAAACCACGCCTGTCTATATTGAGAGGGTTCCATTGGGAACGGTGTTGGTTATCTCTCCTTTCAACTACCCATTTTTGCTTTCGCTTTCGTCGATAGTTGCAGCCCTTGCGGGGGGAAATGTGGTTGTGTTCAAACCTAGTGAACTGACACCTCACTTTTCCAAGCTTTTCTGTGAGATTGTCTCGAATGCATTAGATGATGATATTTTCTACGCCATCAACGGGGCGGTTCCTGAAACTACAAAGGCTTTGGAACAAAAGTACGACAAGATCATGTATACCGGTAGTACTATGGTCGGGACTATCATCGCTAAGAAGGCCGCTGAGACGTTGACTCCAGTGTTATTGGAATTAGGCGGTAAATCTCCTTGTTTTGTTTTAGACGATGTCAAAGACAAAGATCTCCCAACAATTGCCAGAAGAATTGTTTGGGGTAGATTTACCAATTGTGGTCAAACATGTGTCGCAGTTGATTATGTTTTAGTCCATGCTTCGATTAAGAATAAGTTACTTAAAGCCATGATTAAAGTAGTCGAAGAGGAGTTCTACGGTTCGTTAAACAAGGATGACAAGAATTATACTCATTTGATTCACGATAGGGCTTTTGCTAATTTAAGTAGAGTACTCGATGATACGAAGGGTAATGTTGTTGTTGGAGGTTTAAGGGATGAATCATCTAGATTTTTGTCCCCAACAATTATTGATAACTGTTCGTGGGATGATTCTACCATGAAGGCTGAATTATTTGGACCATTGTTACCAATTTTAACTTATACTGATTTATCAGTAGCTACAGCTCAGGTTGTACAAAACCATGATTTCCCTTTGGCTCAGTATATCTTTACTAGTGGCCCTACTTCCAGAAAGAACCCTCAAGTTGATCAAATTTTGACTTCGGTTAGATCTGGTGGTGCCGTTGTTAATGATGTCTTGATGCACTTTAGTTTAACCAATGCACCAATTGGTGGTGTTGGTGCATCTGGTCAAGGTGCTTATCATGGTTATTATTCTTTCCGTGCTTTTACTCACGAGAGAACTACCATGGAACAACCTTTATTTACGGACTTTGCTTTGGCTGCAAGATATCCTCCATTTAATGACAAGAAAGATAAGCTTATCCAAAGTTCCTTGAGCAGACATAATGGTAATGTTTGGTTCGGTAGAACTGGAGACGTCAGATATAATGGTCCAAATCCATTATGGTCTTTCTGGACCGGTTTTACTGGTATTTGTACTTTGGGATATAACCTTGTGAATTCCTTGTAATTTTTTTAAACTATATTAATATTTATTGTTTTAGTATTCAGATTTTGCTTATGTTTAATAGTTATTAATAAAACGTATTTTGGAAACTTAGAAGTAATAAATTCAATGATGTTTGTAGTGATTACTATTATACCAATACAACATATGTGGGAGAAGTTGAAAAATCTTATTATCCAATTCCTCTCGGTGGCCAAGCTGGCTAAGGCGCGAGACTGTAATGAGTACCTCAAAGTAATCTTGAGATCGGGTGTTCGACTCACCCCCGGGAGATTGGCTTTTTTTTTGATGGATAACAGTTTGTATTTTTATGTACCTATAAGCTTCAATAAAGGCTATAACATTATAAGAAATCAGATCACCATCCCTACAACGAGACAGACAGTTCAACGTTAACTTGAATCTATTATGATGTTCCTTATAGCTTGATATCCAAAACGGGCCAAATCTATAATTGATGTTCACACTACCCAAGAGACAGACATAAAACATGTTTTTGCCACAACATTACATTTGAATACCCAATTGTAGCATAAATATGTCAACCTTTAATAGTAAGTATATTAATGTGTTAATTAGATGATTGCATAACTAACCAATATTAGTTTCTATTAAGAACGCCGGGAAATTATACAATATTGAGCTTGAATCGAATGATACTGGATTAAAGTTCAAAGAAAAGATTCATGAATTGACAAATATTCCAGTCGAAAGACAAAAGATTTTGATAAAAGGTGGTAAGCTAAACGATGATGCTACCGTATCATCTTTGAACTTAAATTTGAAACAACCAATTATGGTTTTAGGTACTCCGGACAAGGGTTTGCCATCTAAACCAGTGGAAAAGCATGTGTTTATAGAGGATTTGAACCAAAACCAATTGAATAAGGTCGGAATGGAGCCATCTGGATTAGTGAACTTAGGAAATACTTGTTACTTAAATTCTTCGTTGCAAACTTTATTTCAGATCAACGAGGTGACTGACAGGTTAAGTAAATTTGAATCAACAAACGGGGTAAACAGAACTCCTACTGAGTCGTTAACCGTTTCATTAAAAGGTGTGTTTCAACAAATGTTGAAGAAACATGAGAGTGTTAATCCAATGCTATTCTTGACACTTTTTAGAAATGTATATCCTCAATTTGCTGAACAAGAGAGAGGCTTTTTTAAGCAGCAAGATGCAGAGGAGGCATTTTCTCAAATCTTGAACGCGTTGAGCAAAACATTGAAGGTTGGTGATCTTTTTAGATTATCGTTCAAAACGGAACAGAAATGTTTAGCATTACCAGAGGAAACTCCTAAAATTGATTACGAAGATGCTTTTAAGCTCAATTGTCACATAAATATTAAAACAAATTTCTTGAAGGATGGAATTTTAGATGGTTTAAAGGAATCTATAGAAAAGTATAATGACACATTACAATCTAATACTGAGTATGAATTAAGCAGAACCATTACTAGGTTACCAAAATTCTTAACTGTTCATTTTGTTAGATTCTTCTGGAGGAGAGATACACAAAAGAAATCGAAAATTTTAAGAAGAGTTCAATTCCCTTTCGAATTAGACGTTGCCGATATGTTAGATGAATCAATAAAGGAAGAAAAAGTGTCAATAAGAGATAAAATCAGAAAGGTTGAGAAGGAAAACTTGGATATGATTCGTGATTTTAAGAAAGCCAAGAATGAATCTACGTTGAACCCAATTGAACAGCAAGAAGAGGAAAATATGAAATTGCTTTCAATCAAGTCTAAATTCAACGATGATTTGAAACAAGTATTACCTTCGAACGTTAACTTGGAAGAAACGACCGAAAACCCCTCGTCAGTTTATGAGCTTAGTGCGATCATTACCCACAGTGGCTCTTCAGCTGATTCAGGTCATTATCAATCGTTTGTTAAAGATCAAAACGACTTGGATGGAAATAAATGGTGGAAGTTTAATGATGATAAGGTGAGCTCAGTTACTAGAGAAAAAATCGAAACCTTAGCCGGTGGTGGGGAAAGCGACAGTGCTTTGATTTTAGTATATAAGGGCGTAGGATTATAAATTTACTAGAAACTTACAGTATTATTATCGTTACATTCTTATAAATAGTCATACTTGCATGTCTAACTTTATACTCTTTTTTTTATTTTTCTAATAAATAACTATAATTCTTTAATTAATTTTGTGAAAGCTTCTACTTCATCCCAGCAGTTTAAGCTTTTTCCCTTATTATCCTTCAAACATTTGATAACTTCTCCTCTTGCCTCTTGCACATCTTTGCTGACTTCAACCTTGGCCAACTTAACATTCTCTTCTAAGATCTTGGTTAATTTTTCGAGCTTTTCATTTGATGCATTGACTGATAATCCCGGCTTATTGTCTTGAATTAATGAATCATTTGTTACTGATTGGAAGTTTTTGACTGTTTGTTGCTCTAATTTCTTTAATTCTGCAGCAACTCTATCCTGAATATATTTTTCAGTGTATTGGGCACGAGAATAGTCAGACTATTAATGTTAGTATTTTACTTTAAATCCATTTTATATGGATAAATACTCACTTCTGACGAGTTTTCCAACTGAGACAAAAATGATGCACTGAAATCAATTGGTGTGGATGGAGTGAAGACTTTAGTCTCTGGTTTAGAAGCTGATGAACCCATTATGATAATTTATGTTGTTAATGTTTAGCTTTACTTAAATTGCTGTTCAACCCATAATAATTCCATGATTTTTACGCTGATCATAGTTGGTTGGAAGGTCGTGTGTGGTTTACCAAAAATGTGTTGATAAAAAATTTACTTACTCCTGATTGAAAGAGTAGTTGAAACTAATTACTTAAGTTATCAGAATTCCGTCTATAAATTGATACGGATACATCGTGAATAATATCTCTTAATAATGCCACCTGTTCAACAATATCAATATGCTGCTCAGCAACCGTCAAACTTTGAAAAATTTAAAATGGGTGCCATAATGGGTTCCACTGTCGGAGTCTGTGTCGGTGTCTTATTTGGAGGGTTTTCTATCTTACAAAATGGTGCGGGACCAAATGGTGTGATGAGAACATTGGGTCAATATATCATGGGTTCAGTCGGTACGTTTGGTTTGTTTATGTCTATTGGGTCTGTGATCAGATCGGACGCCGATTTCCAAGCATACCAAAGAGCCATGATGCACTCGCAACAAGCTAAATTGAGAGCTATTTACAGAAACGAATAGACGCTGGTGTCAGCTGGTTGTATAGTAGGAGACTGCATTGGTATGGAGAAAAATTGAAAGAGGTGAAAATTGAAAAAGATGTAAATACAATTCGAGAAGAATGTCAGTTTTTAGCTTTCTTGTATGTTATAATAATAGGTAATAAATACCGATAAATCATGTAAGAATTTGTATATCAGCGTTCTTTAATACTGTTTTTTTCTAAATCGTAAACGTAAGTTAATCCTAAATGTGGTGCTCTATAGCTATCAGATTTCCCCATAATGGCTGCATATTTTTCTAATAAATGCTTTGGCTCTAGGATAGGTTCACTACTAAGCTTAAAAGTCCCCCAATGGATACCCATCATGAATTTTGAAGAGACGCATTCACAGATTTGTAGTGACTCCTGAGGCGAAATATGTCTTGGTTTCTGATGCCATGACGGACAGTATTGTCCTATAGGCAATAAAGACAAATTTATTGGCGAGTACTTTGCACCGATAATTTTGAATAGTTCCTTCAGATAACCCGTATCACCCGCATGATATAATAGTGCTTGTCCGTTACGCTTTATTATATATGAACACCATAACGTGGTATTCGAATCAAAAATGTATCTTCCAGACCAATGCATAGCTGGGACACATACCACCTCATAGTTATCTGCCAAATTAGCTTCATTACTTATGTACTGGTTTAATGGTACGGAATCCCACCAATCCATTTCAATAACGTTATATATGCCGTTTCTAGCAAACTTCTTTTTTAATCCCAATGGTAAGATCCAAGTAGTAGAATTGCCAATTTTCCTAACAACATTCATTTCTAAATGGTCTGGATGATCATGCGATACCAATGTAAAGTTTATGTTGTTATTGGTAGCGTATTTGATATCTTCAAATGACATTGAAGATTCTATTAATCTCTTCGGGCCGAAAGACTCAGCTATTAGGTGCTTACTTAAAATTGGGTCTGTTAAGAAGTTTATACCAGAAATTTGCACTAATGAGCAGGATTGTCCTAACCAAGTGAATATCATTTGTTGCCCTAAAGGTGGTAGGGAGTTTGTGGGAAAAACATTAAGCCATCCATTATATGTACTTGCTAAGTTCTTGAAATTATTTTTATTTATGCATTCTTGAAATAATATTGAATTTTGTCTGATTAATTCTAGATCAGGCTTATATGACTGCAACACTCCTTCGACATCACTAGCACCTTCTTCGGTTACCTTCCTATGCAATTCAATCAGATTCCCATAAAGACTTTCGAATGCTTCCATTATTCGAACAAGTACAAATTCAAAGGCAGTCTGTGGCCTATATTCATCAAAAGGATTAACAAACATACCAGCAACCATAGCCGACTTGAATTTGCTAAAATCAACATCTTTATCTATAGAATTTGTATCCAAAGAATTACTGAACTTCTCATATTCCTGTTTCCTTTGCGATATAATCTGTTTTGTCCTTAGATGCATGTAAACCTCGAATGAGGTATATGACAAAAGTAGACCTATACCAACCTTCGCCTTGAGCGAAAATAGACTACTTACCATAATATGTTGACAGTTTATATGTTTGTTAATTGAAGTACATCAATCGCAGTATTTTTGTCTTTGGTGTAAATCAAGATAAATACGCACGAGACAGTACAATTGGGAGATAACGAAATCTATAATACAGTTGCATTTGGTATTAGTGGTATTATAATGAATATATATATATATACTATGCAATAGAAGGAATTCTGATCAATGCTTACTAACAACACCAGCTGCATCAGCAGAAGCCAAAATGTGTTTCTTGTAATCATTAATATTACCAGGGAATCTCTTAACTGTTTGGTCTTCGCTGACCCAGATTTCATTACAAACTCTATCAATGATAGAGACATCGTGTGAAACCATTAAGACACCACCCTTGAATTGAATCAACGCATCAGCTAACGCATCTAAACCTTGTGTATCCAAGTGATTAGAAGGTTCATCCAAAATTAAGATATGAGGTTGGTTTAAACATAAAGCTGCAAATGCAACTCTGGACTTCTGACCCCCAGACAACAATTGCATTTTTTGTAAACCTAATGAACCAGTAATACCAAACGAACCCAAATGACGTCTGTATTCTTCATCTGATTTACCAGGGAAAGTCTGCGACATCCACAGGACAGCGGAAAGAGTCAAATCCATCGCATCAACATGATGTTGAGCAAAATATCCAATTCTCAATCTTCCATTTCTTGTAACGAACCCACTTGAGGGGGTCAAATTTTCCATTAATAACTTCAATAACGTAGTCTTACCAGTACCGTTACCACCACAGAATGCAATACGTGAATCCATTTGCACATCTAAATCAACATTTTTCAACAAAATCTTAGAAGGATTATATCCAAACGTAACATCTTCCATTCTCAAAATAGGAGGTGATATATTATCTGGGTCTGGGAATTTAAATGTCACTACCTTGTCATCTTCTGGAGGCTCTAAGATAGGTAATTTCTCCAACTTCTTAATACGAGATTGTGCTTCAGAAGACTTAGCCGCATTATATCTGAATTTATCAATAAATGCTTGCAAGTGTTGACGGTATGCCATTTGATTTTCATATTCACGACGTTGGTTTTTAATTCTTTCTTCTTTCGATGCGTAGAAAGAATCGAAATTGGATCCTCTATAATAATCTAACCGTTCTGAATGTTGATGAATAATATCAGTAGCCACTTCATTTAAGAATGCTCTATCATGCGAAACTACCAACACCGTTGATTTATAGTTCTGTAAATATTTCGACAAGTAAGTAATGGATGGAACATCCAACATATTAGAAGGTTCATCTAATAACAATAAATCGGGCTCACAGAATAAGGCTCTAGCTAACGACAATCTCATTCTCCAACCACCGGAGAATAACTTTGTTTCCAAATGTTGCGTTTCTTTAGTAAACCCAAGACCATATAAAATCGCCGCAGCTCTACTTTCAGCTTTATCAGATTCCATCTCATATAATTTTTCATTAACGTCCTGCAAGTGCTTATCCAAATCTTCTCTTTCATTGTCCAATTTGATAACTTCATTCGATTCTTCATCGAATTCAGTTCTTAACTTTTCAATTTCACTAATTCTTTCGGAAATTTTCGCTTCCTCTTGTAACAAACTCTTACGCCAGACATCAGCATCTAAAACACTCTGTAATGCTGAAGTATCATCACCTCTAATTTCTTGTTCCACATGTAAGATGGTAATGTGCTTTGGAACGTTTAATTCTCTTCTTGATAATGCTTTCAATAATGTAGATTTACCAATACCATTTTGACCAACCAAACCATATCTTCTACCGTAAGCCAAAGTCAATGAAGACTCACTCAAGATTCTTTGACCATCACCAACATATAAATCGAAATTATCAAGCTTAATATCTTTTGATTTTCCTGCACTTGAACCGAAATCAAGAGGATTGATTTCAAGGAAAAACGAATCATAATCGTCGTCATTCTTTTCGTTAATTAATTTAGAAGCTTCATATTGGACAAACTTATTATTTCTCTTGGCCACCTTTTTGGCAATCTTCCTTTCTTGTTTTTCCAACTTTTTCTTATCTACTCTAGTTTCCATCTTTCTACCAGTATGTTCAATGTCATTACTTGCATTTAATAACGCTAATGAAGAGTTAATATCTCTCTTTGAATTATTTTGACGTAACAAGTTAACGTCCAACAATCTTCTAGAAGTATCACCAGTAACTTCTAACTTTGCCATATTTTCCTTCAATTTTGTAGTTAATTGTTCAGATATAGTCTTAGCCAACTGTGAAACTTTGTCATCCGAACCACCAGCATTAATCAACAATTCTTTTATAAATTCCATTTCATTGTTAATATCAACCTGCTGAGCAGAAACACTATCTTCAGTCGAATGTGAAACATGCTGGATATAACCAACTGCGTAATCTGCCACAACAGGATCAATAGAAGGGACTGACTGACGAATTTGTAAGCCGATATTAGACATTTTGACCTATATTGAGTACCTAGTATCAGTAAATTCACTTTATCCTACTCTAAAATCTTTACCGAAATTTTTCAATCACTACATATGGGTTCGCGCACGTTAGATTTTCTATATGATGGCAAAGGGTACATATAGATGGACATAAATGCCTAAAACCGACAAAATTGATAGTCAGATCATGATGAACTCTCTATAATTGACATAATTGATTAATCAAACAAATAATGGGCGATTGCCAATTTTCAGGGTTACTGTGGGAGCATAATTTTATATTTTCCAAATAGACTACATATTTATAGGCTTAATTACTAGATTGTACTAATAATCATCACACTAATGGTAATCAGACACTGACATATAATAGTAGTCGAAATCACATATATTTAAAAAAATATCTAAATAAATCTTTAGGATATCATATCATTTATAAGACAGCCTTGACCTTGCTTTCCAATTTATCACCAGAACTCAATTCTTGAACATCGGAGTTACCACCAATGTGTTCACCTCCAATGAAAACATTTGGAACGGTCTTTTGTCCAGTTAATTCGTATAAAGCTTCCTGGATTTCACTACCATCTTCCATTTCATCTAATTCAATGATGTAAGCATCCTTGGTGATGGACGAAAAGGTATTCTTAGTCTTAGCACAGTATGGACAGTAAGACTAATTAATGTTAGTAATCTATGTTCAGTTCCCGTATGATTTTATCTATCGATGGGTGGCGTTTCTTGTCCATCCGAAGTACATACCTTTGACGCGATAAAAACTGGCTTAGTTTTAATCAATTGTTGAACCTTGTCGGTAGTTTGTTGAGAGACCATTCTTGTTGTAGTTAAATAACGTCTAAATACACTAGAAATCATATATTAGGAATAATGTGTTGTATTTATAATCTCCGATTTAATTAGGAATAGTCTGTGCAACTTGCTATGGACCGAATTGATCACATCATGTGACACAGTTATTACTCTATTTCATATGGCCTAAATATGAATGTTTATACTATATAGATCCTATAGATGATAACTGTTAAGAATATTCGTAGAGACACTCTGATTCAAGCATAGTTATTGCTTGAATACGGAGTTGATAATTTCAATGGAGTATCCATCAGGATCTCTAATGAAAGCAAGTTGCTTTATTCCTCCTTTACCCCATTGAACAGCCCAATCTATATTAGGTTCACCAAACTCCTCATTGATCTCTTTACAGAACTTTTCAGGGTCGCTACAGGAAACACAGGTGTGTCCGTAACCTTGTATAGCACCATTCTCAGTAGAGTTACCGTTGTGGTAACCTTCGAAGTCGTTATCAGATTCAGTACCCCAATTATGGGTTAATTCGATCAATCCTTGCTTCTTGGATTGCTCATCTCTTGAGATAGTGTCCTCTTTGAAAGATGCATCATGTTCGTAACCTAAAAAGTAAAGGGTGAATTTTGCACCTTCATGAACACTTGTAGAAAACAATTTCATACCCAAAACATCACGGTAGAAATCTAAGGATTTCTTAGGATCCTTGACCCTAATCATTGTGTGATTGAGTTTGTAATGAGTAGAATCGGTCTTATTGGTCGCTTTACCCTGACCGTGTTCAATTAATTCAATCCAGTATCCGTTTGGATCCAAGGCAAAAGCAATGTTCTTTTGCCTACCATCGCTTAATTTCTTCTGAAATTTAACCCCTTTGCTTAAAAACTGAGCTTCAGCAGCCTCAATATTATCAACAGAAACGCAGATATGTCCGAATCCTCTGAATTTCTCGCCGTTCCCGTTATTCAATGTATAGGATTCATCGTTTTCAACCCCATGATTATGACACAATTCGAGTACACCTTCTCTCGCAGACCAACTTGCATCATTGTCATTGCTTCCATTGTCATATGCTAACATGTACAATGTGAATTTGCTATCTGGGAAAGGTATGGTGGCAATCAATTTCATACCTAGGTTTTCGGTATAAAATGGAATTGATACCTTTGGATCTTTGATACGAAGACATGTGTGGTTCATCACAAACGATTTGTTGAATGAAGGCATTGTCAATGTGTGCTACTTAGTTGTATTATTAAAGAACAGAATATAATTTTAGTGCAATCGTTTAAAACTCGTTTAAATATTTAGCACCAAAAATGTGCATCAAAAAAATGCTCCATAAAAGTGCACCCGAAAAGAATCTGTTGAATAGATAAGTAGGATCAGTACAAATTCAGTGATGATTCTATTTAGAAGTCAAATAAAGAGTATCCCTCGTTTAAGATACTTCAGTACCAAGTCTATAATCAGGTCATCGTATCAGACTGATGTGAAACGGAAGACATTACTAGATATACAACGACTTTACGAGACCAAGACTCCTATATCAGTGGTGACTGCGTATGATTTTATAACAGGTAAGTATGCGGAAAGTGCTGATGTTGATATCAATTTAATTGGAGATTCATTAGCTATGGTTGCGTTGGGTTATGAAGATACCACAGAAATCTCATTCGATGAGTTCTTGTACCATACAAAAGCTGTTCTCAGAGGTAACAAGCTGTCTTTTATGGTGGCAGATATACCATTTGGATCCACTGAAATATCAGTTGAACAGGCAGTTTCGTCAGCTATAAAATTGGTAAAATATGGTAAAGTTCAAGGTGTAAAGATTGAAGGTGGAAGTGATATAGTGCCTACTGTCAAGAAATTGTCCTCAATAGGTATTCCCGTAATGGCCCACGTTGGTTTAACACCACAACGCCATAATGCATTGGGTGGTTTCAAAGTTCAAGGAAATAATGTGGAGAGAGCTCTTGAGATCTATAGAGACTGTTTAGAGTTACAAGAAGCTGGGGCATTCTCACTTCTTCTAGAATGTATACCTAACAAATTATCTGAGTATATTACTAAGAGTATGTCTATACCAACAATTGGCATTGGTGCCGGCCCGGGTTGTTCAGGCCAAGTCTTAGTCATGTCCGATTTGCTTGGGATGGGGGATCCAAAAGACTCAATGAAACCTAAATTTGTCAAGCAATACAATGATTTCTTCTCTAGTGCTATACATTCGCTACATGCTTACAAAAAGGATCTACAACACGGGAAGTTTCCTCTTGCAGACGACCACGGCTTTAAAATAAAGAAGGAGGTATTTCACGATTTCAAGATGCAGGCCGAAGCGATGAAAAAGGCTAACTAATACATTTATTATATAAACTCGTTCCTTTATAGACGACACATTTATCTCGATAAATAAAATTTAAAAATTGATATTTTTCAGTACATACACATAATAGACGATAGAATATGACAATAGAAATTAAAATAAACACAGACACTAATATACTCCGGATTTTCGTAATAAGACATGGTCAAACTGATCATAATGTACAAAAGATATTACAGGGTCATCTAGATATAGACATAAATAAAACAGGACACAATCAATCGCAATTAGTTGGAGAGGCTCTAAAAGACATAAAGTTTGATGGATTTTCTACTTCCGATTTAATAAGGTGCCAAAATACAAGTAAGGAAATCCTTCAACATCATCGGAACATAGAAGTCAGATCTACTCAGAATTTAAGAGAAAGAGAAATGGGAGTTGTTCAAGGGATGTATCTTAAAGATGCGCTTGCAAAATATGGCGAAAATTTTAGAAATATGGGTGAGTCTAAAGAAGATTTCTTAGTAAGGGTTGACAGTGAGTGGGACCGCATTGTAAAGCTCAGTGAAACCAAAAAGTATTCAAATTACGGAATTTGTACTCATGGAGGAGTCATAACTGCGTTCATTAACTATCTTTACGACATAAAGAAATATAAGTTGAGTCCGTCCTTGAAACCTAAGGATTTGAAAGTTCCATTCAATACGTCGGTGTCAGTAATAGATATTAACAAACAAGATGGTAGAGGTACAATTCAAATATTTGGCAACACTGATCATTTGGGGGCACAATTAGAGGTAAAAGAACAGTTATTAAGGTAATTTTATATTATTATTTTTACGTCGCTAGAGTGTATTAAAAATCTAAGATAAATTGTATTATAATTGAGTATGTAAAATGAAATTATTAATATGTAAAAATTAAATCCTAGGTTTAGACGAGAACGGTATTCTTATCAAAAGTATTAGACCTTGAAAATGATGCGTACTTTTGGAATGGATCATTTCTTTCCAAATCATACTCAGGGTTTTGTACTTTCTTGGCCTCTTTGCGCTTGTAGATTCTCTTCATCCACTTCCATGCTTCTGAAGAAAGTAGGAAGAAGAAAGTAAAGGCAAAAGAAATACCCCATTCGTATCCAATACCTTTATGCACGAAAACATATGTGTTTATAACAGGAATGTAAATAACAGGGAAGACACCAATAAATCCAAGAATAATCGACCAGAATAAGAATTGGTTGTCCCATAAATCGATTGCTGTTTGTTTCCACCATGGATTATCAGTATCTCTTCTCATGTAAAATAAGGAGTTGTCTTGATGGACACATTCCCATGCCATAATTAAAGCACACCAGGTCATAGTGGCGAATGAAGCTGATCTGGCTCTGAAAACTAAGTCACAGGCTGTGACGTGAGTATTTGATACATTACAATCAATTCCTAAGTAACCATCCCCAACACCGTAGACAATAATAACAAAACAACACATACATGAAACAGCCATAAAGAGACCATATGCAAGCATATCGATAATAACTTCCCAAGTAAAAATAGTGCTGTTCGGAGGTTTTTCTAAAATGTCCTCACTGGCTTTTTCCTGACCTAATCCCATGGCTGGGAAACACGATGTAATTACTAAAACCCACAAGACTTCAACAGGAGATAACGGGAAAACAGAAAACCCAGTTTCATCAATAAATACTAAACCAACCATTAAGTATATCGCTTGTGCAACATTTTCTGCTAATAATTGCAAGACGAACTTTTGAATATTAGCAGACATTCTTCTACCCTCTTCTATTGCATTTAAAATGGAAGCGAAATTGTCATCTGTCAAAACAATATCAGATGCATCTTTTGCGACATCTGAACCATTAAGACCCATAGCAATACCAACGTCAGCTTTCTTTAAAGATGGGGAGTCATTAACCCCATCACCTGTCATGGCAACGAATTTCTTACGACGATGCAAAGCATCGATCATTCTAACTTTAGTTTGTGGAGCACACCGCGCAATAACTAATGGTAAAACTGGTAAATTATCAATTTCTTCGTCAGTTAATTCGTCAAATTCAGTAGCTGTCATACACATTGCTTTAACAACTTCATCACTGTAATGATATAAATTGTGTGGTAAAATACCAACTTCTTGAGCGATTGCCTTAGCAGTACCTGGGTGATCACCAGTTAACATGTGAACATTGATACCAGCTTTATGACATTTCTTAACAGAATCTGCAGTTTCAATTCTTGGCGGATCATATATACCAATTAAACCTTGAAATGTTAAGTCTTTTTCAACTTGCTCCCTTTCATTCAAATCATTGTTCGAATTAGTAGCATTCTTAGTTGCGAATGCTAAAACCCTCAAACCCTGTGAAGATAATGCATTCATGTTGTCTTCAATCATGGCTCTGTCATCATCAGTCAATTCAATTGGTTTGGAATTATCATAATTAGCATCATAGTCTTTTTCGTAATTGTCTGAATGACCTAACCAATGAGTACAAATACCTAAAATCTTTTCAACGGCACCTTTGGTATATACTCTGATTTCTCCATTTTCCTTAGACTTATAAACAGCTGACATTCTTTTAATAGTGGAATCAAAAGGGTATTCATTTATGTGTTCGTAATCGCCTTGCAATGAAACTCTAGCATAATCCAATCTGGTGGTAAACACTTGAATTGCAACTTCGGTAGCATCACCATGAGCCTTCCAAACCAATTCACCAGACTCTTCATCTTTACCTTGGTTTATTGAAGCAATGTTAGCTAATGTTGCAGTGTATAACCAATTTTCAAAATTCTTTGGTTGCTCTGGTAATTTAGGTAAAAAGGTAACCTCTTCATCTGCTTCCTTAGCATACTTCGGACTATATTTGGTGAAAGACAAGTCGCCGACTGTTGGATTATATGGTTCATTTATATTATCAACTGAATAAGTACCTACATTAGGAATCCATACTCTTTTAACAATCATTTTACCTTGGGTTAATGTACCAGTTTTATCTGAACAAATATCATTAATTCCACCCAAAGCTTCTAAAGAATCCAATTTTCTAACAATGACATTTTTCTTTACCATAACTTGTGCACCTACTGCCATTGTAATAGTCAATACCACAATCAATGCAGATGGAATCATCGACAAAGCAACGCAAATAGCATATATAGCGACTTCGTTGGTAACAATCATCCTCTGAGATCCCATAACAACAATAGCAAAGATAACGGCAACACAGAACAAGAAAATAGCCAAAAGCGATAATTTTCTTTGCAATGGAGTACCAACGTTAACACCTAAGATATTAAGACATATGTCTTTGATACTACCAAAAAAAGCTTGCCAGTACTCTCTTTTCTTTGGCTCACGATCATTCGACTTGTCCACTTTTCTAATTAACCCATTGTCACCACGTAATGATTGGGCGATTACACCAATCTCAGTATCTAACCCTGTAGCAACAACAATACCGACACCGCGACCCTTAGAAACCACAGATGAACTGAAGGCAATATTAAGACGGTCCCCAACTGGGACAGGAACTGAACGATCGGGATAGATCTCGTTTTGGTCCTTTGCAGTAGGTAACGACTCCCCTGTTAACAAAGCTTCATCCGATTCAAGGTTCATGGTGTCAATTAAACGCAAATCAGCAGGAACAGTGTCCCCAACCTTGATATGCACAATATCTCCTGGTACCACTTCTTCTGCCGGAATGGTCACATCATCACCGTTTCTCGTTACATATGCACTGGGCGAACTCAAGGATCTTAAGGACCCCATGGTCTTCTCGGCCTTTAATTCCTGTATGAATCCCACCAGGATATTGATGAAAACAACAAAAGCAATTACACCCCCGGTAATCCAGTCTTGAATTGCAAGGGAAATAATCATCGATATAAGCAACACCAAAATCATCGCATTGAACATTTGGTGTGCAACAATCTTAGAATACGAGATCTTTTCATCGTCCCCCAAGTTATTTCCTCCTTTGGTGTCGTACACGGTCTTCGCTTGCGACGAGGTTAATCCATTTTCTATATCTGTATCAAAATGTGCAGCAACTTCCTCGATGCTCATCCTGTACGGCTGAAATCCGTCCTTCATCTGATCATTTTTCTTCTCTAATTCTGAACTTGCTGAACTATAACTCATTAGGTAGTTCTCTATATTTCTGTATACCTAAGAGTTTTCGAAAGATCTTTTTCATTACCCCGTATCTATCCACATTTATATATTAGACCTATCAGCCAAGAAGCCAAGAAGGTTATTATCGGGGCACATGTGACCTTTAGGGTTTTCGCGGCAGTTTATAATTAGAGTTCCGTGGCACGGGCTGCGTAACCATCTTGGCCTGCTAGTCGATAACGCATGAATTCAGCCTTCCAGAATAAAAAAGTCGCATGTAACGTCAAAAACAACTCCAGAAGTTAAACTTCTGCACGCCAAAAGCCAAAAGTTTGAAGGCGTTGGAACAGACAACAGAAACGATCATAAGATTACAGGCGATTGTAAAAGCCATAGGATGATATCCGAAGTGTTAAACTTTGCAAATACGAAAAAATTAAAGTGGTGGGAGGCTTATGTAAGACTAAGATTACTTGTTCTTTATGCAAGCAAGAAAAATACGGATGAATTAAATGTAAGATAGTCGTCTTCCTTATATTTGCTTTTCTTAAACCCATGATTACATAAGCACGCACAGTTTGCGAGATGCCGACACAAACCGAAGCAATTAACTATCAATATAAAGAGATAGGAGGAAAGAACACCAGGCACAAAAGGAGCTATGGTAATGGCATAGAGACTATTGTGCCGAAGAGATCAACTATCCCGTAATGGAGCCTGTACGAATATTCGTTATAATGGGCCAAAGGCAAGGGATTACAGTCATACAGGACACGGGTCCACAGGGGTATGAAGTCGGAAAACAGTCTTGCGGATATATACAAGATACGAGAGTAATCTGGAGGTTATCTATCGCTTGTATATGACGTGCTTCTCTTGTTGATATACAAGAAATTTGCAGTATTGGCGTTCTAGTCAAGATTCATTGGCATGCAATATAGACAAGGACGACATAGTCTTGGCACGTGCCGTAGCAGGCAAATTTTCCCCCTCTTCTCTCCACGCCATACTGCAAATATTTGGCGATAATATAGATCACACTATTTAGATACTCGTTATTGGGAAGCGGACAAACAAAGGAACCTAGGCAAGTAAATGCCAATGTAGGCGTAGAATATAATGCCAGCGACACGCATCGTGGGAGATCAAAACGAGCTGCATTCAAGTAATAACTGTTTTGTAACCGTACAAGATGTAAGCTAACAAAATTGAATGTTAGAGTACATAGATTCATGTCACTGGTTCGTTTTATAGACAAAGTATTGGTTGGTACCGCTGGTAATATGTAGTGATGACATATATTTATTCTTAGAGCACAACATTCCCGAACTGGGAGTGTGAGCAAATGCACGAATTTTCACTGAAAAATTCTGTAAATATTGACTATACTTGAATTATCTTAACAACCATGTCGGATGCTGACCAAGATATCTTAGATGCGATTGAGCAAGGATCATTCACTTATGCTCAATCACTGCTTTCTATAAGGCTAAAAAAATATCCCAATAACACTTATTATGGAGCATTAAATTGTTACTTACTTTTATCGTCCGGTAAAATTAATGAATCCATTGATCAAAGTCTGAAGCTTATGGCCAAAGTCCCTAATGATCCAAAAACACTTGGATTATTATACACCATTTTTAATAAGGCAGGAAGGTCTAAAGAAGCTAGCGTGGTTTACGAAAATACTGTGAAGAAATATCCTACCAATTCCATCATTTTGAGTTGGTTTGAGACCTCTCTTAAGAATTTTGATTTAAAAGCTCTTCAGAAATCTACCATGAATTTACAAAAAGTCAACAAATCGAATCGCTCATATTCAATGTGGTCAAGTTTGGCATGCTTGATTTTAAGCAACAATTCTAAAGATCCCAAGGAGAGTCTTCTCTTTAATAAGTTAGGATTGAAATTGGTAGAGAACCTACAGCCATTGGCAACTACACAAGAAGTATTCGTATATGTTAAGTTGCTATACAACTTAGAAGAATTTTCCCAAATCGAGTCTTATTTACATAAATATAAGTCCGAAAATGTGCTTGATTTGGAATTAAAATTAATCTACTTGGATATGCTAAACACACTAGAAAAATGGGATAGTTTATACTCATATGCCAATCAGTTAATCTTTGAAGAAAAATTTAATGATTTTGATACTTGGAAATATTTAATTAGTTCATCCTTCAAGAATAATTATCCTGTATCAGACTTGAAAAAAACCATCATAAGCCATCCGAAATCAAGAAACTCCACATTAGCATTAGTTGAAATGGCAAAGGTATATGGCTTGCAAATGGATGAATTTGTCTTTGATTATTATAATCAATTCAATCATAAATCATGCTGCTTTAACGATTTAAAGTATTATTGTAAATATTTTGACACCGCAAGCTTTAAAGCATTGATTAGCGATTCGACCATCAAATTGATAAGTTCTTCGCAAGGAGACATAAACATATTGATTGGTTTAGTCAATAACCAAAAATTCAAATTGTTGTTTAGAGAAATAGGTGTCGATTTTTGTGCTCAAAACTGGGAAATTTATGGACGGTTTAAGCATTTATTGAAAGTCAAAGAACCGACAGATTTCTATCCTGCCCACGAATTAATTTTAATTAATATAATATTAGAATTGAAGGAGAGCAAGAAAATTGAAACAATTCTTAAGAATGTTTGTATAATAGAAAAGTTATTGATAGATGACAAGTCTAACTTCAATTTAAAATTATGGCAAATTAAATTATACTCTTATTTGAATTGTCAATCATTAGTGTTTTTGCATTATCAAAAACTAAATATTAAAATGATACAACACGATACCTTGAGTCATTATTTAATCGAGAGGAATTGCTTCCCTTGCAAAAATAATTTGAGTTATTTAATTAACATCTATAGATTTTATTTGACAGCTGAATATGAAATCAATGACAACATAATGCTTGGTTTCAAGAAAGAAATATTCAATAAATTAGAAAACTTTTTACGATTTGGTGATAACATGAACAAATCCATTAGTAAATATAATTTATTATTGGAGATTTTGAAAATATCTAGAGTTACTAATGACAGTAATTATTATAACTATTTCAGTAATAATCTCAAAAGTTTTGAAATGAGCTTATTAAATGAATCTTTTAATGTATCAGATAACAGGGACAAAAAAATACACTGGAAGTTTGGTATTAATGAACCTTTGGACGGAGGAATGTTACATTTGGGACCAACATATGGCGAAGAATATATAAAATTGAACTATATTAAGGAGTTAATTATCCTTAATATCAATAATAGCAATTCTTTGAAGCTCTTCAAATTGTTCAACAAATATATGAATAACAATTTGTATTTAAATCAACTAACTGTTTTTGAAAAATGGCTTTTTAAAGTCTACCTAAGTGTTTTCAAGTATATTAAATTCGACAATCCAAAAGAAAACGAATCTATTGAAAAGTTTTTAGTTAAGAATTTAAAGCTAGAGAAAATTAATTCATTAATTAATTCCACCGAAAGCATATTATCATGGGAAATAAACTATATTTTGGTTAATTTAATTGACTTATCCAAGGTTTTAAACCAGTTAAGCAGATTTGAATCGTGCAAAAAAATAAGCTCAATCAACAAAACTTTGATCGCCGATTTGAAATCTTTAAATTGCAAGAAGCTTCAAGTTAATAAATTGAACGAATTGAAAGCTGGGAACTTTGAATTTAATGGAAGTTTAAATCTTGATGCAAACTTTGTCAGCGAAACATTTCAAATTATTGAGAATTCAATCCACGAGGCTTCTATCTCTAATTTAAGATTTTAATTACAACATTTCTGTATCGTTCTAGATAAATAGTTACTATAATACATGTATATATATATATACTACTTAATCGTTAGAAATTTTACTACCTTGCAAATCCATCATTGCTAACATTTGATTAATCTTATTGACCCCATCAGTTAAAAGGTATCTTCTTTGTGACAAATCGGACACTTGATTACTCATTGTGAATTCATGTTTGGCATATCTTAGGAGTTCTTCTCTTTCATGAGTTCGATATATTATTCTGATTAGCTTTCGATATGTAGATTTTACTTTTGCCCGAAACATGAATTCTTCCAACGATAAAGCTTTATCAAAGTTCTTGGACTTTAGTGAATGCAAGGAAGTATTACTACTAAACTGACGGGTAATGAACTTGTTCATCTGTATTACTTTAGCCATTTAGATATAGTTTATATGTAAAGAATCTATATGAAATGAATTCATCTGCTCAAATCATATTGCCGTAGCTATATACAGGTGCAATATTAATTTATTACGTACAAACGAAATTCTATCAGGAAATGTAATTAAAGGATCTATATACATTAACTTTGATCTGGGTCAGATTTAAAGGCATTTGGAATTAGGCCAGCTATTCGCCATCTCCATCGTAATTGGTATTGTAAATATTTTACCCAATCAAATGTGTCGGACCCACTATAGATCCTCACGGGTATTGAATCTGCACTGCTATTCAATTTATACAACTTTTGTATTAAATTAGATGAAAAATTATCTTCGCTGTGTCCACTGGAATTTTGGATATTATATTTCTGGTTGATGTCTTGAAATATTTCAAATAGTCTTATGGAACCTGCTGTGTTATGCTTGTCAAAAGTTTCGTTAGACTCATGGCTGGTACAACGATACGATTTGTTTGCACATAATTCATTAAAAAATTCTTCGTATGTCTCAACACATTCCCAGCAAACAAATTCACTATATAAACGGGCATTTTCTTTGCTCAAGGACTTTTCGTTTGTGGGGTATTCCAAAGTAGAATCAATGTTATTATCTATCAAAGAACTGATTTCATATAGTGGTTTTTCGCACAAATCACAATACTTTAAGGAATCACTCCCAGGTATTTTGCCAAAAATCTCTTCAAGATTTTGTTCTTTTCTTGTAATTTTAGTCTTCGATACGCGTTCATTAGATGTGCATCTCCTTTCGAAAGGAGATTTGGAGTTACCGAGTTTGCTGATTATAGTTGAAGTTGCAGAGGTTGTAGGCAAACTGGAGCTGTCTTCCTTTTGATATATGCGATCTTTAAATACAGCCAATGAGTCCTTCTTATTAATGTGCTTTTGTTCATCCGTATTGACATTGGTTTCACTAGTCATGTAATCCTCTACTAAAACTATTGGGTCTTCGCTTTCTTCAATTCCTTCATCGTATTCATCATCTATATTATACGTTGAAACTGACTCCAAAAATTTAATGCTATGCTCAACATCATTGCCTGGATGTGATGCCCCTGAACTCCGTATTCTAGGTGGGGGTGGTAACGGAAGTGATGTCAATTTTGTATCGTCTATGAGGTCAAGTTTCGAGGGTTGATGTTTCAATGATTTCCAGTTGTCATTCCTTGAATTTTGAATGAACGATGTCTGTTTTTGCAATATATTGTCTCTTCTTGGAAATGATGGTTTGCATTGAGTTATAGATGGCGTATCCAAAAAATCTTCATTAGATAGTATGCAATTGTCTGATCTATTATTTTCCCGCCTAGTCGTCGCCAATATCGAATTATTAACTAGATTTATTGAAGACATCTTCCTTTCATTGCATGATTTCTCTTAACCAAGCAATAAAATGGTCAAGCTCTTTACCGTCAAAAAATAAATATCTGAAAGTTTTACCAACTATTTTTTTGTTGAATGAAAGCTATTATTATTCGTGTTAAAATGTTTTATCGTTTAAAAACAATCACAGCATCAGCTCCTACGTATGCATTGTATTTATTGTGAGAGTTTCCAAATCGAGATGAAACTTCAATAGACGGACCGATTGACTAAATAGGAACTTATCCGAGATTAATTCAATACTGCAAAAACTTTTGATTAATATATAAATAACTTTGTTTCTATATATTCTATGCTATTACTTATGTCTTCTCGCATTTACAAACAGTTGATATGGTACATCTCCATCGTTATTGTTGTTTGCCCAATACGATATATCTTCAAAAATACGTTGCGAAATTACTTTGTCCATTTCTAATTCTTGCTCTCTCATCATCAAACATAAACTCTCGCATACTTCAATCAAGATTGAGATGCCTCTAAACTCCTGCCTTCTCTTGAATTCGATAATTGGTTTGAAGTTTGTGATTTGGTTGGCAAAACGTAACTCTAAGACGGATACGTTCTTGAATAAATTGCTATGGAGGATCAAAGGTACCGATTGGTTAGTTATGTAGGGGCAATTGTTTAAAGATAATCTTTGCAAATGATCACTGCATCTGATAGCAAGGTCCCATAAAGTTTTGTCGGTAATATGACATCCAGCTAAACCAACTGTGTTCAAACGAGGATTGTTACGGATCAATATGCAAAGACTGGAATCCGTAATTAAATTTCCTTTATTTTTTCTACCGAAATTGACAGTGGTTAATTTTGAACACAGTTTAGCTATTTGATAGATTCCAGAATCAGAGATCAACTCACAAGCACGAATATCTAATACTTCTAGGTTGGGACACTTTTTAGCTACCATAGACAAAAATCCATCGTCAATTACTTTTGATCCTGTGATAACTATTTTTTTAATTTTATTACCACACATCAAAAATTCTGGAGTTGGCAAAAGTTTAGGGCACATGTAAAATTCAAGCCATTGTAAGTTTGAGAAGTCCATATGATTCTTGATTAGCTCAATTATATCTTGTTTGGCATGAAACAATTTGTGGAAGACAAATAATGAAGGTTTTGCTTTTATTTGGGTTAGTTTAAAATTTTGAAGAAAGCTGTGAAGTTTCATTTCATCACTAAAGAAGAATTTTTGGCTGACGATTTCAGCTGTAACTTGATTAAAAAGCTTATTAACTTGCAAACAGTTAAATAGTATTCCATTGTTTTTGTTCTCAATGTAATGATCTTGTAGTGATAATTCTGCTTGTTGTTTATCTCCATAAATTAAAAGAGCATGATTGCTTGATAAAGGCTTTCTTCTTATAGGTGTACCTTCCTGAGGAACAACGGTGTTCTGAATGTCAGCAAATTCAACTATCTTGTAGACAATTTCTGGAATTTCGAAGATACTTATCTGTGTACGTTTTGGTAATAAACATTCTATTGGCCCATTTTTCTTTGTAAATGAAAAAAATGAATTATTAGGAGTTAATGGGTTTCTGTTTATGGGAGATGAAAACGGCGTATCTCTGTCCTCAGATAAATCTGGCAACGACTCTAAATCAGAAGATTCAGAGCTGGATGAATTCAAAGAAAATTCCAGGTGTATGAAAGGACTTGATGGTATGTTCAAGCTTATTGGTGGGGTAGTTGAGTAAGGTCTTCGTTTGTTTCTTGCATGATATTTATTTGACGGAGTCCTTGGCAATTGCCTAGATACTTTAGATATAGATTCAGACTTACTCCTTTTCAAGTACTTAGGTTCTTCGTTAGAAGGACTGTAATCGTAAATATGATTATCAATATTTTCAATGCAAACTAAAGGTTCAGTTGTATTTTTTGAAACTGGTGTAATGTTCATAATTTGAATGGGAGTGACTTGGGAAATGCAATTTACTATTATGACACATAAAATATAATAACCTGGAGTTAAATATCTTATTTAAAGAAATGAAATGAAGAAACAACAAGAACAATGATAAATGATCGACTAGGGTGAGTTGTATGTGAATCTTCAATTTAATGAATCCACTGTATTAAGGTTCACGCTGTTTAATTTAATAGCGTTGGTACTATAGATAGTACTGTCAAGATATACAGTTATAAATCAGTGACTGAGACTAACTTAAAAAAAAATAGTTATCGATAATTGGTAGTGAACAAGATGGATACTTATATATATCTGAATACATTATTAATCCAGCCATTTGAAAATTTCACAAGTGTTCAACATACTTTCAAAGGTACATTTTTAGACATATTTGTACTTAAGCGAGTCTGGTCCTTAGTTAGAAGCTGGTTTAGACCATCTAATACTCTCCTGTAGCTGGTTAAAGTGGCTGGCTGATGTTCCTTTTTTGCAATTTTTTGCCCCACACGTGATTTTAGTGCAAGTGCGTTGGGAAGTAATCCTAAAATAGATTGCAACAATTCCAGACCAATTGACGATATCAAGATAGGCATAATCAGGAGGCTTGTTAGGTACCTTACCGACTCAAAAGGTACATTGATGCTTGCAGATTTATTTTTTACAGTTCGACAATTGACGGGTGTTTCAAATTATTACCATTATCAGAGACTACAACTAGAGATGCCATGTATGAACCCACTACGAGCACACAATAGAAGTAAGGGTTAAGTTTTCTGGCTAAGCATTATATTCATATTTTTCGTATTCTAATACGTATTAAGCTCATTCAAGCATGCTCAATTTTTCCCTTAGAGTAAATTTTGCCCATGAAATTAACCTATATATTGAAGAAGAGCCTTATGAATAATACAGCTGGTTTGAAATACAATAAAGCCGAAAGGAAATCTGATGATAATAATCATTAGTAATATTGGTTCAACAGAGTACCTGAGGCTCGGTTTCCGCGTAAGCACTAGTTTTGCAATGTTTTCAGAACCTTACACAAAAATATAACATCCATTAGTCTCACTATAACAGTATTGCATTCTGTGCAGACATTTCAATATCTAGTGACACAGACGAAAAATATATTGCATTATCTTCGACAAATGATATCTCATTTACTAGGATGATAGGTCGAAATGTGAAGTCCCTAGTCTAACGTTAGAGTAAACCCATGGTTCATTATTTTGAATTTGAGATATAACTCTTGGTATCTCAAATACAAGTAACAAGCCTACTTGGGCATCTAGTGAGTTGTAGCCGTGTAGAATTTAATAATATGATAGCGTGTAGCATAGCAATCAAATGTTGAAGGTCTAAAAGTGCAGCGCCAGTTTTTCCGAAGATCTTTCAATTTCCCAATCCGGATAAAATAGAAAAGAAATTTTTCCGAACCATCCTATCACGTGACTAATCGAGTTTGAAAAAACCCTTGAAGGGACTTTGAATGATAAATAAGTTATCAATTATTGACTTATGGTAGAAAATATCTAAAAAACATATTATGGGTAAGAAGCAAACAAGCAATTTTAAACAAGCATCTTTGTTTGATATCAGACTAAAAAATCTTGACCACGATATATTGGTCTTAAAAGGTAATGAGCATGATGCAGCTTCGGTATTATTGGCAGGGAAAATCGCTTTATCTGTCAACGAGCCGTTAACGGTGAAGAGGTTGTCTTTGCGGTTATATTCTACGTTAAGAATAAATAATATCGACTCGGTCAATAGTCCTAGAGGTAGTCTGGGTAAGCCGTATAGGTTTGAAAAAAAGCTTTATGAGCATAGCTGGGATGATATGGAAATCAATCTGTACTTAAGCAATATGTATGAAAACTCGAATTCTAGTAAGCCAATAGGAATAAACAGATCGCCAAACCATTCTAGCACGGGTTTGATGAATTTGGGATATTCGAAAAGATCGAAATCATCTAGCAACTTAAACAACTCAAGTTTTCCGACATTGACCCATACAGATTCAACGTCAAGTCTTACTAGCTCTAAATCCAACCATATATTGGTTCAGGGAAACTACGAATTTCCTTTCAGTGCGGTGTTGCCCGGGGATATGCCCGAATCAGTGGAAGGCTTACGTGGTGCATCGGTTGTTTATAAATTAGAAGCTACAATTGATAGAGGTAAATTCCACAACAAAATGGTCACTAAAAAACACTTGAGGGTATTGAGAACTTTAACGACAGATTCGGTAGAGCTTTCTGAGACAGTGGCAGTTGACAATACGTGGCCCAAAAAGGTTGAATATTCATTGAATGTGCCTTCCAAAGCAATTGCCATTGGTTCCAACATTCCTATTAGTTTTATGCTCGTCCCTCTATTGAAAGGTTTACGGTTGGGTGATATTAAAATACAATTAGTTGAATATTCATCGTGTGTAGGATATTTACCTCCAGCACACTCAGAAGAAAGAATAGTGGTATCGAAAACCATTTCTCAACCAAATGAAAATGATCCTGATTTCCAGATGGACAAATGGGAAATTGATAACTATTTAAAAGTTCCTGATAGCTTATCCAAATGTACTCAAGATTGTGATATTCAAAATTTCATCAAGGTTCGTCATAAATTGAAGTTCACTATAGGGTTAATTAATCCAGATAATCATGTCTCTGAGTTAAGAGCATCTTTGCCTGTTCAACTATTCATCTCACCTTTCGTGTCTATTAAAGCGAAATATCTCGATCTGGACGACGATGTACGTCGTGACTCAGGAAATGAAAATTCTAATTACGACGAGGAGTTACTATTTTCGTCGAATAATGGTAGTCATACTAGCTTGAGGTCATTGAGCTCTTCTCCTAATAACGAAAATTTGGGTGAAAATAGATTAACATCTAATCCAAATTCTTATACTTCATTCAATGGGTTGATGGCTCCTCCTGTGTATGAGCAGCATATTTATGATAAATTGTGGTCTGATATCTCACCTGTTGAGTCACCAATCAATTCTGGATCATCAACTCCAAGATACAGCAATTACCTTTCTAACGGAAATCAAGACCAAGGTGATGTACGAGACCAATTTTCCATGTCTCCGTTGGATAGCGTTCAGTTAAATGAAAATTTAAGAGCATTGAGCCTTCAGAGACAAATTCAAGAGGATGACTCGACCCCAAATCAAACTCCAGGAAGTTCTTCTAGAAGTAGACCAGTTTTTAACATAGGTGAAAATAATAGTCAGGGTGATTATTTTACTAGATCGAGGTCACCGTTAAGCACGTCTTCTCCATCAGCATCAAATATACCGCTACAAAGCCCAGGTCTCACGTCTCCCCCAATTCATTTGTCTAGAGTAAATTCTGAGTCGAATTTAGATTCGAGAACTTTATCTAGGGTACCATCTTATACCCAAGCAATGCGCTCAGATGCAAATGAGGATGCATTATCACCGGCGTATGAACCACCCTTACCAGGATCTAACATTAATTTATCTGACATGGATAGAAGAGTTGCAGATTCGAGCTCACCTACTAACACAAATCTGAAAGGTAGGCTGATTCTTTCTAGGGGTTCAAGTAACTTAAATTTGAAGGGATTATCATCAAATTCAAGGGGATCTTCATTGAATTCGTCCCCTTCGAATTCTCGTAATGTCTCGTCATCAAATCTTGCTGCATTATCTTCATCTCCAGGAAATTTATCTAGAACTTCATCTAAGAAGAGTATTCATAGTAATGGTAATAACAGCAGTGCTTCATCCTCGTCAAATACACCTGTTTCTTCATCACCGGGTCTCAAAGCCCATGATTTACCTCCTCATTTATTACCTAACCATTCTAGCTCAAGCACAAGCATAACCAAACCATCCAGTAGTGCATCTGATAGGAATGCCGCTTTATTGGGATCGAGTTACCCAAAGAAAACGACATCATCTTTAAATATAAATGTTCCTTTCTTGCTGAAGAAATCTAAGGACAAGAAGTGATAATTTTGCAATACGTACATAGTATAGAATAGAAAGACGATAAATCATTATATACAGGATCGAACAATATTGTAAAATGTTATGGAAGTTGAATGGATAAGGAGCAGAGATTCTAATAGTAATGAACTGATAGTAATGTTTAGAGATAGAACAAACTTATTTTTGTCCTATCGTCGTACGGTTCCACGTAGTCTTCCCAGAAATGACAGGCGGTTTGAATCTTTAGAAGAAGAAGAAGAAGGATTGATTGAATCTAGAAGAAGTGATAGGAGGCAACGATATCAAGATAACAATGATTCTATAGAAATGAAGGCTTTACCGCCATCGATATTTGATATATCCAAAGAAATTGATGATAATTTGTTACAAATTAAAGGAAAAACTAGCGAGTTGAATTCGTTGTATAAAAAATTATTAATAACTAATTATAACGAGAAACAAGCAATTGAAAATAAGATCGAAAATTTAAACTATGATATAACAAAGAAGTTTGAAAGCTCGTATGTACTAATTAAGAAGTTCGAATTTTTACAGAAGAATCACGGCAAGTTAAATTTAGATTATTCCAATAATGAGATATCAATTATTGAATCATTCAAGAAAAATTATGCATTAAAGATCCAGGAAAGTTCATTAATCTTTAGGAACTTGCAGAATAATTACATAAAGTTTTTGAAGGATGACGAGGACGAAACAGATACCTTAATAAATGATTCCAATAACGACCAATTTAATTTAATTGAGAATGAAGAAGAGTCCCGAAATATTGAAAATTATTCTAAACAAATTCTCCAGCAAACTCAAATACATTCATCAAATTCACAGTTTCTTCAGGCTAGGGAAAGAGAAATCTCAAAGCTCGCCATGGGTATTTTGGAAATATCTACCATTTTCAAAGAGATGGAAAGCATGGTAATTGATCAGGGAAGTATACTAGATAGAATTGATTATAATATAGCAAACACTGCACAAGATTTGAAAAGTTCCGATAAAGAATTGATAAAAGCTCAAGGGTATCAAAAAAGAACAACGAAGTGCAAATTAATATTTTTGTTGTCTTTAGTTGTGTTTGCATTATTCATAATTGTCCTAGTTAAACCGCATGGTAAAACAAAAGTAATTGAGAAACCACCTCCAGATAGTAACCCTGAAGATAGACCCACTATAAATAATCCAGAGGATTCAACATCAGGATCGAAGAATGTGAATACTAAAGGAAATTCAAATGCTAACGTCGATGATAGTCTATATCAAGTTCATATAATATAGATAATTGTGTATTTTAGTTTATATAAATGGAATAACTATATAACCCGCTTCAATATAAGCTAATAACTTCAACATGTGTTAAAAGTATATTAAACCCAATATTTTTAAAAGAATCTAGTAATACAAAGGAACTTAAAAATAAAAAATAGTTAGACGAATCTAACCTAACAAAACGTAAGAAAACAGAGATAAGAATTGAAATTAATAGTTCAGATCATTCCATATGGACTGTCTTTAGAAGCTGTTGGTCTGTCACTGATTCTAGCGTTTTGCTGAGGGAAAGACAGCTGTGGTTGATTATACCTGTTAGGAGGAGGCCTGTTAGCGACAGGTCTCCCACCAGGAGGCATATTACCAAGAGGCCTAGGACCTGCAGATCGATTTGGATAACCTCCCTTACGTTTAGCTCCTCCTAAACCCAATGAAAAATCTGGGTTATTTGATAAAACATTATCTGACACTGTCGGCCTCTTTTGGACAGGAGCAGCCCTAGCACCTGGTGCTTGACCTTGTGGATAAAATTGTGGTTGCGGAGAGTAATATTGCTGTTGGGGATTTGGTGGCGGCATAGATGTTTGATTTTGCTGAAACAGGGGTTGATAATGTTGCAGTTGTGGGTACTGTCCATAGGAAGGTTGCTCAAATTGATGAGGGTTATATTTCGGATTAATAGCCCTTTGCGAGACACTTGTAAAATCTGAATCCACATCTGAATCCAACTCATCAGATCTATGAAACTGATGTTGGTTCGTACCACCATCATCAGCGAGTTCAGTAAAAGGTTTATGTCCTTCCACAACTGGATGATGCTCAAAGACACTTAAGTCAGTTGGATTATAAGCTGGCTTATTCAAGGGAGAGTTATTGGAGGGATAAGGCAATTGCGGGACGGTAGACATAGGCGCGTCATTCATGGTTGGGGTTGCAATTTTCGGTACCACATTTGGAGCCATCTGTTGTCTAGTTTGAATAGGGGTATTTGGACCATTCACCAAATTAACACCAGTATCGTCGTAGTATGGTTTCTTACCTTGACCAGCGTTAAGCGATGCACTAGATTGTTTGTTTTGCATGGTAAAATCGTGTGCTGATTGAGGCGATTCGTAAACACTAGAGCTACTCACACTGGATCCCATTACATTTTGTTGGGGTGGTCTTTGGACCTTGAATTGATAATCCTTACTAAGAGAGCTCGTTTCATCATGAGGGTTAGTGAGTGTGATTCCGCCAGCTGTATTAAAGTCATTGTCAAACTTAGTAAGATCAACATCCTCACTATCCTTATCATCATCGACATTTGGTCTTCTGTGGAATAACGTTGCAATCATTAACGCGACTGAAATCAAACTTGCAGCAGCAGCACCCACAAGTATCCATGCTGCCCACTCAACAAACGGATGGAATGTAATAATCACTATAACACAAATTATAGCGGTCGCGATAAAACTCAAAATATTCAAAATAAGTGTCAAAATAATCATCCCCGTCGACAAAAAGTGGGATAACAAAACAAACACTAAGCAAATAAACGAAATCCCGGCAGCAATAGGACAAACTATGAACACCTTAGCCAATGTATCTCTTGTAGAAGGAGCCAAAAGCCAACCAGCCGATTTATCAATCTTACTGAGCTCATAGGGATAACTAGAACTCGAGCATGATCCCGAGCTCTGGCAGTACCCAAATATCCCATACCTGTAGCTTGAAGTGCTACCTAAACTGAACGACGTTACGGGTGACGTGATACACGACAAGATCAAAAAAACGACTGTCACCAACATCAAAATGAAAGATATTGAGTTAAAACTCAAGTGGAACGCCATAGTAGATAACGAGTGTAGCGATTGTTTATATTTTTATTATAGTTGATTTGACTAATATTGTTTCTTGAAACTATCTGATTGATTCGATATTTTCTTAATTAGATTGTATATAACTTATAAATCACTTCTTACTATATTAAATGTCAAGGAATTACCCGATGTTCGTATATTCCTCCTGAACGTTATGCTAAAGGTGCCAATTCTGATCAGATTATTTTTACACGGCTGTACAGCACGTTATTGGTAAAGACGCGATTTGAAAAATTATTTTCCTTCATACCAAAAATCGGGGACTTCCAATATGTATCTCTCCATAGCCTCCCTAAATCTGGTTCTGTACTGTTTAGGGGTAACAATTGTAGGATCTTTGCCTTTTTTACCGCCTCCAATTAGGTTGTTCCCCTTAACCCAATTTTCAACCTTTTTGTCCCAAGTAAAAGTTCGTAACCAGTCTATTATACCTATATAGAGTTTCTTCGACGAATCGTCAATGCCGATAATCAACGAATAGTCCATGACGTCCATTGCTGATAGAAACGAGGTGTCGTTAAATAATGAGCCACGGAGCAATTTTTTCAGGTGTTCTTTAACGAAGACCGGTGATTCGTAGATGTATTCGATCATGTTTTCGTCGAGGAGAACTTCGTTCTCCTCTCCTGTTTGTTTAACGTGTCTGTTTCTCATAGACCCCTTGAGATCGAAGATACGGGTTGTGTTGTGGTTGTAGAAGAGGTTTTCCATGATGAGGAAGTCCATCTTAAACGTCTTTCCCGTGATGGTATTTTTGATCTGGATTTGGTAGAAGCCAAAGATCTTAGCCACAGCCGTAGTGAGGGTATGAAACATAGATTGCGAAATGTACTTGAAGTAGAAGGGCGCAATGGACACAAAGGACTCGAGCTCTGACTTTGAAAGCTCTTTTAAGATATATCTGGCATCGAGTGTCTTCAAGAAGTTAGATCCACTCTTCCCTCCACTGGAATTCCACTTGACACAACGAGATAAACTCTGAATAAACGTTTCGTCATTTCCACAGGCTTTACGGAATGCATCAAATTGTTCCGAGTAAAAGATTTTACAAGATAAGTTAGTATTACCATCTAAATATTGGTATTTTAAGTGGTTCGACTTATTCTTGATCATAATACTCTCAAATTCGTTTAGCTTGGCACCACTGCTATAATTTGTCTTGAATTTCTTTTCGATTTTTGTGAAATTCTTGAACTTTTTGTTATTGGATTCATTAATTTCGATGTTTTCTTCTGTAGTATTCTCTCCCATTAATTTGATTTTTTGTTTGTAATCATGCGAAGACAAACAGAAAGCTACTAGCGAACTCGGTTCATCATCCCTTACTATAACATCCGAGTCGGCAAATGTATGCTCACTAGAATCCAATGGATACTCCAAGGGGTCCCATAATGTAGCAGACCTATCGGCCCAGAAGTTCGTTAACGATTTTAGTAGAGAGTTCTTTTCAGGTTGTGGTATATCAAGGTTTTTAGCATCCTTATTCTTATCAGTCTCCCTATTCTTATTTTGAGTAACTTTTCCTTCATCGTTTTTATAAGATGTAAAGTCTTTCATAATAGGCAGAATCTTCCCTGAACTAGGTTCCTGGCTTGGAGTTTTTTTCTGTAATCTTTTCAAGTTTTTCTTATCTAAATCAGTCTCATCATTAACATCTACTACGTCTTCAATGTTATCATAAATTTCAACAATAGGTTTTGATGCGACTATTGGTATGGCTTTAAATTTGTTCAATTTCTTTTGTAACTCCTCCTCTCTTTGCTTTCTAAACTCCATCGAGATTTGATCAAAATTCATTTGGTTGAAAAAATTAGCAATTTGAGACACTTTATTTGGAGGAGGTTCTTGAACTACGGGATGTTCCTCAATTGTTGATTGATATTCTGGTGCCGGTTGTATTTCATCTCCTGAAGGGATGGATACTTGAGAAGCTTTTGAATTTGAAGATACATTTTTCTTGTTCAGTGATTTTGCATCTTTATGTTGCGCTTTTCTTTCACTCTCCAATAAGGCTTCCATTTTATTAATTTTATCAACAACGTTGGACTGCCCATATAATGATGATGGAATCATTTTGCCAATTTCCTTTGTTTTTTCTTTGTTCAATGAAGTATCTGGGAATCCTTTCCTGTCTTCTTGAATTGAATCTTTAAGTATATTTTTTTCCTTGTTCATGATTTTGGTTCCTGCGTCAACTTCTGAATCAGTTTCTGTTCCATCAGTATTTTCATCCCTCATTTCATCGGATTTTCTTGATGTATCACTTGGTCCAGCTTCTTTATTCTGACTCTCTGAATTGTATTTATCCATTAAAAACTTTTTCAAATGAAATTGGGTGATTTTTGTGATTTCGTTTTCAGTAGGCAAAAAGTTTTTTTCAAACTCATTAAACTCATTATCCCAAATTACTCCTAGCTCCTGTAACTCTCGTAAAATAGGGTTTAGGGGTAGATGAACTGTAGATGAGGTTGAATTATAAATTTCTAGTGTCTTAGATTTGATTGAATCAATCTGTAAATCAAGTTTTAGTTTTAATTCTTCAATTTTCTGGATTCCATCGTCCGCCTTGTCAAATGTATCTACCTTAACCCTGTTGAGTCTGTTAGATACACTCTGGAAAAAATTAGTTGATTTATTTTGAATTTGGTTAAAAGTTTCAATTTTTAACTTAATATCTATGTCTGGCAAGTACTCTAATTGTTTTTTTGGTACAACAACTTCGTAGGTATCAATTTCAGAATATTCCATTCTAATAACAGAATCATTCAAAGCAAAATACCTAATATGCTGCTTGAAGAAGTCATGATTGCATCCTGAATAGGACGATACAACATTCTCAGCTCCAAAACATAATTCCAAAAATTTCCCAACTGATATGTAGTAAGTTTCGTCATTCATCGTTCTTATAGGGCTAGAATAATCACAAACCTTGCAAGAACTCCACATCAACCTTTGATTTTTGTCCTGTGGATCTTCATAAAAGACATTTTCATATTTTTCGATGATTACATCCAATTTAACGTTACCATGAACATACGTTTTGTAATGGTTCAATAAAGAATCACCACATTCATCACATGTCCTTAAGGAATCACGGAAGATTTGATCGAGAAATAACCCTAGACATTTATCGTTATCAGTATAGTAATCAATGACTACTGTGTTAGGTCCTGAGCAGGGAGTAGCATATTTTATGGACACCGTCGAATGCAAGAAGTGGATACTTTTATGAAACACGGGATATAACTGATATGATGGGAAGCTCATACAATTGGACCAAATCCTCGCCCTCGATTGAAATTCATTTGTCAAAACGTTTAAATTAAATCCGCTTGCGTATTTTAAGATATTGATCAAATCTTGTTTATCATTTGGAAGCCGAGTAATATCGATATCTAAGTTTAATTCATTCAACCAATCTTGGTCAATGTCCTTATGAAGATCCAATGATTGTATCTTTTGGTCCTTCTTAAAGAAATCAAAAAATTTCTTGTATGAAGTAATTACGTTTACCAATGCGGTTGGTAACTTAACCATCACAGCTGGCGAAACACTCAACTTCCGTTCAGAAAAAAGTTTAACGTATTGTTTAACTTCCAAGTTGTCCATAATGACTTCGCAAGCATTATGTTCACCCAGATAATTTGAATTCCTTTCATCGTCAATTATTTGAATTTCTTGAATTGCCAAATCTGCATCTAAAGGTTCTTTGTTTTTATCTAGAATATATATATCATGATTCTCCAATAGGCTAATCTCAAATTTTGAATTTAAAACACCAAGGATTAAAGTTTCTGCAGTATACTTTACGCTATTCAATACATTTTCTTCTCCACCTCTCAATGCAATGGTAAAGCCAGATTCAATATCGCCTCCAATAAAGAAAATAAAACTCTTAACGACATCCTGGTACAAGTATTTCCTTACTTCAAACATCTCACAAGTACCTAATGATCCCTTTTTGAAAAATAAATCATTGATCGACTGAAAAATGTTTGCCTTGGTGTATCGCGAGATTCGCTCAATAACTTGAGGTTTGGTATTTGAGATTACCGTTATATTTGCTTCAATTAATAGCTTTTCTGCCAAACCACAAACAGAATCACCAACAATAATGATATCTGGTTCCAACGCTACTAAACGTGATACCAAGTTTGTTATGTAAACTGACTGTTGAGAATGAACTATTCTCAAACTAATGAACAGTTCTTTTTGTTTTAAATATTCTAATGGAAACATTAGCAATGCTATTTTCGGGTTTTTAATTTTTGAAGACATTTTTTTTGAATCTATATTCTTGGTTGCAAACATGCCATCAATGACATTAGTTTCTTCAATTGTTCCACCTAGAATTTTCTTGATCTTTACATATTGCCTAATATCTATTGTGTCAGTTAATTTAATGTAGCTGGTGTAGGAGAGAACTCTCTTTAGTGCTTTACACCATCTCTCTTGGTCCTCTCTTATTTCGCAATCCTCTAAGCATTGCTTCATTATTGAATCTAAGAAACCTTTGTATATGAGTTCTTTTGGTTTGAGATCAGTATTATGCGAATCATTCATGGATAAAATATCTTTTCGTATACTAGCGGTATCTTCAACGTCTGCATATGAACTATCAGCTGTCCTATTTGATAAGCTTTTGTCATTACCATGAGTTGGATCATTCTTAGATATACTGGGAGAAATAAGCTGCATCGGTGACGAGCCGGATAAGACAGGAACACTTGAAGCGGACAAATTAGGTTTCGAATTCGCCATAAATGTAGGTGTGTCATCAATTGACAAGCCCTTTGTTAAGTTCGATGCCATATGAGATGATGATTGAGACATAGGTCTTGGTGAAGTAGGTGTTGACACTGGTGATTGGCCTTGAAGAAGAGACGTGTCAAGGCCTTGAAGCTTATTGTTATTATGAGTTAAGATCAGAACATTTCTCACTGATTTGCTCTTTCGTCTTGATCTCATTC